AGGATACAGGGAGAGGAAAGGGTTAGAGGGAGTGATACAGGGGAGGGGAGAGCGAGGGTTAAAGGGAGAGATACAGCAGAGAGAGAAAATGGGGGTTAGAGGGAGTGATAGACAGGGTTAGAAGGAAAAATAAAGGGAAGACAGAGAGGGAGTTAGACGGAGAGATCCAGGTGAGACGGAGAGTGTTAGAGGGAGAGATACATGGGAGAGGGAGAGTGTTAGAGGGAGAGATACAGGATGGGGGAGAGAGAGAGAGGGTTAGAGAGAGAAATACGGGAGAGAGAGAGAGGACAAGAGGGAGAGATACAAGAGAGACAGAGCAGGGGTTTAGACAGAGAGATACAGGGCAGAGAGAGAATGTGTTAGACAGAGAGATACAGGAGAGAGAGAGAGGATTAGAGGGAGAGATACAAAGAAGAGAGAGCGATAAAGAGGAGAGACAGACAGTGAGAGGGAGAGCTACAGGGTAGGGGGTCAGAGGTTAGAAGGAGAGACACGGGTGAGACAGGGAGGGCTAGAGAGAGAGATACAGTTGGGAGAGCGAGAGGGTGAGAGGGAGGGGTACGGGTTAGAGGGAGAGGATTAGAGGGATAGATACAGGGGAGATAGAGTTAGAGGGAGAGATACAGGGGAGACAGAGACGGTGAGAGGGAGAGATACAGGGGAGAGAGAGACGGTGAGAGGGAGAGATACAGGGGAGAGAGAAGGTTAGAGGGAGAGGCAGGGGGCTAGAGGGAGAGATGCAGGGGGAGAGATACAGAGGAGAAAGAGATGGTGAGTGGGAGAGGGTTAGAGGAAGAGATACGGGGGGGAGAGAAAGAGAGGGCTGGAGGGAGAAATAAAGGGAGAGAGGGTTAGAGGGAGTGATACAGGAGAGAGAGGGAGCGGGTAAAAGGGAGGGATACAGGGGAGAGAGAGAGCATGAAGGTGAGAGGGAGAGATACAGGGGAGAGATAGAGAAGGTTACAGGGAGAGAGAGGGTTTGAGGGAGAGATACAGGGGACAGAGAGGGCTTGAGGGAGAGATACAAGGGCGAGAGAGACATCTAGAGGGAGACATACAGAGGAGAGAGAGCGAGAGAGAGGCATGGTTAGAGGGAGAGATGCAGACAAGGGAGAGAGGGGGTGAGAGAGAGATATACAGGGGAGACAGAGAGCGCAACTGTTAGAGGGAGAGATATAGGGGAGAGAGAGAGGGTTAGAGGGAGAGATACAGGGGAGAGAGGTAGTGTTTAGATAGACAGAGATGTATGGGGGAGAGAGAAAGGGTTAGAGGGAAAGACACAGAGGAGAGAGAGAGGGTAAGAGAGCATTTGAGGTAGAGATACAGGGGACAGAGAGAGAGGGATGGAGGGAGAGATACGGGGGAGAGA